CCCTTTAGAATAAAATGTCTCTATACTGCAATATTTGTTAGCCTTGGGTTGCGTAATATTCTTGATACAACTTAACAGTCCGTTCATTCTATGTATTAAGAAAATGCATCAATGTTAAGTGAAATTCTTAATATGTGCTCACAGTATCAACAGTCATAAGGGTAATGATGCGTGCCGAGAATGGTGTTAACTGCAGATACAAATTTGTGTTATGGTTACATAACACACAGATGCATGGAAAAGATCTGTTAAGGGAAACATCTATAACTGTCACTTTCTAATCCTCAATGTCTCTCAAAATAACAGAAGCTTAATTTTAATTCACAATATGGAAAAACTATAAATACATGTCTTAAATCAGAGCCAATAAAATTAAGATATTGAATATTTGCATTAATAATAATAAAATAATGTTATTTCTAAAGCAGCCCTCCTATCAAGGCACTGAGGGTGCTGCTCAACAATTGTGCACATGCACACTTCCCCCTGCCCCCGCCCAGCGGCCAAATAACCCTTTAAGATTAGGAGTATCGAAAAGGAAAAAGCAGGGAGGGAGAAATGATGCTCTCTTTACCACCTATTCAAACCTATATATTTAGGGAAAATAGCTTAAGGTTGTTTAAAAGTGGGAAGGGATGAAGGGACTCTCATTTCAAGGATGAGTGTGTTCCACAATTTTAGGACCACTACAGCAAAGGCAGGATAGCTTGCCAATCAAAAACACTATGGTGGAATCCCTAAAAGTTGAGTGGTGTCCAAACATACTAAATATTATCAGATTATGACGACTTCTAGGATGTTTAGCATGCTAAATTTTAATGCAAAGCCTATTGTACAAGAGTGGCAACCCCCTAAAACATGGAAATACTGACACAACCTTTAAAAAAAATGTGCTAGTGCTACAGAACTACACAAATGTTTCGAGTACGTCTATTTGAACCAATCCTACACCAAACGAATTTAAACAAGCTTCTATTGGGAAAAAGAAAACGTGTTCTGAAGACGCTCATGTCACTTAACGGTCATCAAATGTTGACTAAACCCTGCAACCTCATGTGTGGTTTATATGCATAAATACTGAATACTGCAGTCTTTGCTTGCCTCTCTTGGCTTTAAATACACTTTGTTTTAAAGCCATTTCGGTAAGAGCTGACTTAGCGAGAGCTACAACTTGCCCCAGAAAAAAAAACATTTCAAATTTTTGAAGCTCTTATGTGACATTAACTATTTTTCTTATTTGCCTTAAAAAAATCACCATCTAGCTAAATTTAACGATCATTTTACTAAACAGAAATTCTTTCCGAGAGAGAGACGTGTATGAGAACAGGACAGTAGAGGAGGGTTGCAGAGCTGTATTTAAATTCTCTGGTTTGAACTGAAAATCCTCGAGTCTATGTACGCCTACAGGAATATTTCTCACGCTAACATGGTAACTTTATGTGCCGTTTCAACCGCGCCCGATACAACTGATGGCCCATTTGCGAGATTGGGATGGGGAGGCTCTGGCAGAGTGGGGCTCTTATACTGTATTGGGACCTCTGCACTAGGCACTGTTTCCAAGAGAAGCGGAGTGAGGGGAAGAGCAAGAAAGCGGATCGCTCAGGCTCCCGACCCGCTGCTTCGGGGCCAGGACGCCGCCGCTGCGGGCGGGGTGTGGGTGCTGGGAGCGCAGCCCGCCCGGGCAGTGGAACCCGGCGGGGAGAGCAGCGCTCGGCTCAGCCCGGCTCTCCTCGCGGCGGGACCCCGCAGCTGGCAGGGGCTCGGGTCGGGGGACCAGGCGAGGCGGACGGTGACCCCGGGAGCCGCATCCGCCCTCGACACAACCCCGCTCTGGCTGGCTCCGGGGCCATGGGGGGCGGGGGACACATGGGGGTTAAAGAGCTGGGGCGCGGGGCCGCCAGTGTCCGGGCGGGGCCGCTGGGAGCGAAGGGCCGGGCCAGGGCTGCACCCAGCTGGGGCTGGCCCGGGCGCGTCTCCCCGGGGAAGTTTCTCCCGGGCGCTGTGGGCAAGCGGCGCCTCCAGCTCCGATTTCAGCCGCTGCCCGGGGACGCCCCATAGCAGCTGCCCCGGCGAGGTGGCGGGTGCGTGTCCGTGCGCCGGGAGGCTGCCCACGCCCCAGCGCCCCCCTTACCTGGCCCTTAGCCCCCTGCCGGGCGCCTCAGGAAAAGTTTCCCGGCTCCAGGGCTGAGGCGCCGGGGACTTCACTGCCGCTTCCTCAGAGCCCCGCGCCGCCAACAAGCGGCAGCTTGGACTAAAATAGGCAGAGAGCCGCCAGGGGGCTACGGGCGGCGCCAGCTCCGGGGCAGGCAGCGAGCGGTTGCAGCGCGCAGGCGCTTCCCGCGGGCACCACCAGCAGCTGCCCGGCGGCGGAGACACCGGCGGGCTCCGGCCACGTGCCGCTCTCCACGGCCGGCCCTAGGGGACGAGGGGTGCCCGCTCCCCCCGCCCTCCAGCTGGCAGCGTTCCAGGGCTGGGCAGGTTCGCGCGGAGGTTGAGGCGGGCCAGCTCCTGCGCCCGGTGAGCTCGAGCGGAGCTGTGCTGCGGCTTCTAAAGGGAGGGGAAATGCGCCTTCCGCCCTAGCAAGCGCTTGGAGGTCTTAATAGATGCGAGTGAGCCAGAAGATAGTAGGTCCATAGCCCCCAGCCGTGCTCCTCACATTGACTTTTTTGCATTTATTTTCTGCTGTGGACCAAAAAACAACACCCCCCCCCCTCTTCCCCAGCAAATACAAACCTGCAGAGAATGGAATGTGAGGAGCAAAGCTTCGTGTCCAACTTCTGGGATCATACCAGGTTAGCTTAGGCTGGGTGCATGAGCTATACCTTATACGCACCCATTACGGCTATTGCTGTATTAATGGAGAATAGGCAAGTCTTTAAAAATAAATAACCGTATCTGAATTTTTGTTAACATGAAGAGGCGCTTGTCCCCTTACTCACCTTGAGTAGAGCCAATAGAAAACACAGGTATTTACAGACCAAGGTATTACTCCACCCGTGGAGCCGAATCTGCCCCCCAGTTACTATGTATACATTGGGATATATCAATAGTCTTACCTATCCCCAGCATTCTATAATCAGGAGCTGGGTGCCCCTAGAAAATAATGAGATATTTTAAAGTAATACATATTATGGGTTCTTCTGGTTTGCCTACTGCTGTCGGAAGGTGTTTTTCTTTTTAAAGGACAGCTTAGGTTCTCAGATAAGAACATAATTCCTGCAGGTGAGGCTTTAAGAAAAACAGCAAATATCACAAGACTCAGGATAAAATCATGAGAATTAGCAATTGCATCACAGAGGTAGCTGAGATCATATAATTAAAACAATGACAATACACGTTGCCTACCATTTGTTAACTTCTCTATTTTCCCCTCCCCATTTTATGATTCTTCTTAATAGGGTAAGAGAACTGTAATAGTGCCTTATGTTCATCACACCATGTGGGGCTCATTGTTGTCCACCACTTCTTCTGTGGCACTATTGTGGAGGGAAGACAGTAGCCTCCCTTGGGGACGGAGTTCAGTTTCTTTTGAGAGCATCAGCAAGGAATTGCCCCTAATTAACAGTCAAAACCACAGTTCGGAATAAATAAAAAGCAGTTAACTTTTATTGCCAAAATACAGAACAGAGGGAAGAAATAAAAACAATCTTTAGAAAATATATACCTGTTATGGATTCGGGGCTAGATCCTGAACATCTTACCATGGCAACTCGTTATTCAGGCCCAATCTGAAAAGCACTTACAGACTAGCCCTGAAGTGGAAGAGCCAGAATATTGCAGATTTTACTATGGTCCTAGCAGTTCAGAACTCTGTCATGTTTTTTCCTGACCTGATATAGCTGCAGCACTGCCAGCTGTGACAGATCGCGTCAGAGCCTGCTTAGCCAAAGAGCCCCTTTTATAAACTCCTTCTCTATCTTAAAAGTGATGTAAAGTGTCATCTATCTATCTCCTCATTGGACAATCTAGGTACTTATATGCAACTGCTATCACAGACTGCCTCTCAGGTATTTAAAAACAGAATAACAATAGAACCAACTAGAATTACATCTTCCTTTAAACCGTTACCTTAGAAATGAATAGTTCTAGAGGACAGTCTAACTAAACAAAAATCTAATTTCCTTCTTTTTTCTAGTTACCCAGCATATATTGCTCTATGAAATGCTTCTGTTTGTACCATCTTCAGTTGTCTTGTTTTAGAATAAACAAATGTGTCACAAGATCTAATTAAAAGTGTTAACCCTGTGTTGATGTATATCTCTTTTAGTATGTTAATTGCAAATTCTAGTGGCGACTTTGTAGAAATATAGTTTAAGGATTGACATAGACAGTCTTGTCATTCCAAGTTAATACATAAAAATTGCATAATATAAAATGCACAGTTCCAGTTGTTACAGAAGCCAACCCTCAGAGGTAATCAATTTTTTTTTTTTTTGTCAAATTTCTTGGTCAAGATATAGTCAAGGTCCAAACTCCAGAGAAAATAATAATGATAATACGTAAATAAAAAGATTTCACAGTCCATTCAAAAGGGTCTGGCAGTCCAGATTTGGCTCATGGTCCACCTACTGACTACCTCTGAACTAGAGAGGTGGTTGCTAGGTCTATGGAAGAATCCTTCTGTTGACCTAGTCATATTTACACTGGGAGTTAGGTCCACTTAATTGCATTACTCAGGGCACACCATTTTTCACATCCCTGATCAATATAGCTAGGTCAAGTTATAGGTATAGACCAGGCCTAAAGCAGCGTGGGTGAAATCCTGGCCTCACAGAAGTCAGTGGTAAAGTTCCCATTGAATTCAGTTGAGCTAGGATTTCACTGTAGTTGTCTGACATACTTCCCCTCCCCCCCTCTTTTCCTAGAAGTAGCACAAAATTCTAACATTTAATAAAAAAAAGTACTCCTTTCTGAGTGTGTGAAGTAGTATTCACTAGTTTTTCTCAAACCTGATTTATATATTAGGTCATGAAAAATTCTTAATTTTAGCAACACCATTTATTTGAGATTTCTACACTACTAAATCAGTGGTTATGTAGGTTTACATTTTTCCATGATTATTTTTATTGTTCCTTGCACTGTTGTGATCTTTGTCTCATGTATGCAAAGTTCAGATATAAGGATAGAGTTGAAGGTTTCTGATCACTGGTTCACATTCATTCCCAGTTGCTTTAAGGATGTTCCTGATCCATTATGTTTATTTTTCATTGGGCTAATAACAGATGGGATAGAGATGAAGAGAAGAGAACTTCTGAAGTTACTTTAATTAGACAAAAATAGAATCTATAAAGATCCAATCATTCATATAAATCAGTATAACTGATGTGGGGAACTGACTTTGGGAAATTAGATTAATTAATATATTGGTTGATGAATTCTTACTGGTGATTCTTAATGATTAATAGTTTACTCATTAATTAAAAATGCTCTTCATTACTGGAGAAAGGAGAAATTCTAATGCTTTTTGGTAACTTATCTGTGAGATACTTTTCTAATTGTTCTTGGTCTCAAGCAATGACCAAGAAACCTAAATTCTTCTACAGCATGGATCATCCAGGCACAGTTAATGTACTATAATGCTGCGTATTTTAATCCACTCAGATCTATATCACATATTTTCTAGCCATTGAAATTTGGGACTGAGATTACAAATCTCCTTCTAGATTTAGTCTCAGTGCAGTACACTGGGATGCATGTACTGGTGCAATAAACTGCATAAAAAGTGCACATTTGGTGGAATTAGTGTGGAAAAGGGCAAAAGTCAGTATTGATTTACTAACAAAACCATCACTGCTTTCAAATAGTTTATTAGGGCATCACAAAATAGGTAGAGAAGGGAGGAGATCTAGATCAAGTTTTTCAAAAGAGACCTGTCATTCTGTGAGCCTTAATTTTTGAGTCCCAAACTGAGACACCTGGTTTTCAGAATGCGTTGGGCATTTATTCACTGAAAATCAGGCCCTTATGAGATGTCCCAAGCTCAAAAACCTGAGGACCTAAAAATCACATTTGAAAAGCTTCACCTTAGATCCCATCTTCCTGTAGGACAATTTCTCTCATGACTGATGCATATTAAAAATATGAGTATACATACAAGATGAGTGGGAAAATAATAGAATGGATATAAAATTGCATAAAGAGGATATACTTACTTTGCCTATCATGCTTTGAATCAGCCAGCTGAGTAATTAGTCTCCTCCTGGATTAATTTCAAAAGTCTTGTATTTTTTATCTGCCTAAAATGATTCATTCTGAGATCAAATGAAATAATAAATACAAAAGCAAATTACAACAGGCGTTGTCCCCTGCAAAATATAAATTACACATTTTTAACTGTAAACATTTCATGCACTTGTAAAAAAGTGTACAAAGGAAAGTCAGATGAATGACATCAAGGGTCTAATTGTTGGTTCCAAACTGCTGCCTTTGCCCAGTTCTAGCAACATAAAGCAGCAGTAATGCATTGCTGACAACCATCTACCCAGGAATTCCCAGAGTGTAGGGAGATTCCTTAGGTGGCAGAGAGCCAGTGCAGCAGCTATATTTTATCCTCCCCCTTCCCAGCTGCTGGTATAATGGCGTGACCCTGTGCTTTGGCTATTCCCAGCTGCAGGAACAACTCCTTGGCAGCCAAGAGTAAGTTAGAACTCAGTGGTATCAAAGACTGCTGTTAGAGCGAACAGAATCAGCATGGACATATGAAAGTGAGGATTAGTATCAACCCATGAGACAGAACCCATCTATGACAGTGAAGGCTTAAGGCTACATAAGAGAAGTAGAGACTCACCACCATGACTCATCTTACCAGGATCAACGAAATCTGATTACTCCATAAAATACCAAGGTTGTCTTGCTATCTCCTTCTTAACAGCCCTGCCTCCAAACTAAAAAGCAGTAATTAGGTGACATCATTATGGTCAAGAGATGGTTTCTTGAGCAAGGACCTAAACACTGCTCATTTAAAGGATACTGCCATCCTATCTTCCCTTGGAGAAGAATTAGTGATTTCCTCATGAGGGGGTCAATAACATAATGTTTGATTTAATTTTTTAGAAGGTAGTTCCCCTGGGTTTCTCAGATTTATATCCACTAACTGGTTTCTCACAACTCTATTTCTCTTCCTTTACCACTGTCAAGTTGCTCCATTTCCTGTATCTCTGACATAAATTAGTGAGAGGTTATTTTTTATTTTCTTAGAAT